TATGTTTTTTAATTGGTTGATGATTGATTCTATCAACTAATTTGTCGATTGTTTGATTGTATTAACTTGATTCTTTAGATATCGAAAATTAAATAAAGAACATTATGTTAATTTAAGCGTACAGAAACGTTGCTGTTGTTTCAGCAAAGATCTTATTTCACTTTATCGAGTGCCTAGTAGGTAATTTGCAGATTACCTAGATAATCTGCATTTTACCTAGGTAATTTGAGAAATAGAACAATTTTAGCAACTTTAACGGATCACGCTAGTTAATCTGCTAGGTAATCTGCAGATTAACGAGTTTCCGAGCTTTAGCGGTAACATATACAAAAACAAAAAACTCTATTTGGGGAAAAAATGGTGATCCCTATTTGGGCGAACTTGTCTTTAAATATTAAAAAATAGAAAGAACCATCGGACGAAAAAATTACTAATTATGACTGAAAAATATCGTCACCAGGGGAAACCTTTTTAATCTACATTTTCCAGAACTCTCTTCTGTGGATAAAAGGCCGAAACACCCCCGAGAAAATACAGGTTGTAACAAACAAGAAAGACGTTCGTATAACGCCAGTTCTGATTTTAGAAAATCTTTGTGTTTTTTAAAAGGGCTTTTTTAAAACTTTTTGGCGACTAGTAGCCTAGAAAGGAAGGTCGGTCGCCAGAAATGTACTGTCTAAAACGCAAAAGGAAAAAAATGGTGATCCCTATTTGGGCGAACTTGTCTTCAAATATTCAATAAATAATTTTTAAGGATTTTTTATCTACTTATGCCAAAAGTCATTCGTTATTTACTTTTTTATAATTTATTGTTTTATACTGTACTAGCTGTTACCCGCGACTTCGCTTGCGGAGGTTTTGCAAGCAAACTCCGTATATATTTAGTATTTCAACAACCATAGTAATTGTTATATAACACCTACTGAGAATTGCTGAGAATCAAACGAACTGTTTTCAATTTGATCAATATTCTGAAACGTTTACAATCATTCTATAATCGAACCAATATGCAATAACAAATTCGAATTTAAAACGAACATTTGGTTAAAAAAATCGAAATATATAAAAATATTTATAACAATGTCTGAAATGTTATCAATTTAATACACCTAAATACTCAATGAAGACTAAACGTAGTTGAAAAAAATCATATCTAAAATAGTACAGTAGAAGCCGTTCTTCCGGTTAAGCCTTAATTCTCTCTTTCTCCCCCCGCGGGAAATTTCGAAAAATCCCTTCTTAGTGCGCGTTTTCATGAAGTACCCTAACAATGTATCAAATTTCACCTCTAGGTTCAGCGGTTTGCTCTGGGCGATGATGAATCAGTGACTCAATCAGAACAAGTAATTTTATATATTTAGATTACAATAAATCTAAAAGTTGGAATAAACAAGGAAATATTTTCAAAACCATCGCATCTTAAATGGCTTTATGACTATGACCTTACATAAAATATCTATTTTGATATTCAAAATAGAAGAGAGAAATCAATTTCATATACACGCACTCTATAATCTTAATTTTGTTATTAAATGACAACAATAAAAATTAGAAAAAGGTTAAAATTTTCAGTATTTAACAGATACATCTATTCTTAGTTCTTAGAGAATATTTCATTAATACTTGTATTACAAGTGTTTCTGCGGAAGATATCATTTCGCAACTCATAAATTTTAACGCTACCTATAGTTTGAGAAACGCTGATTTACCCATTTGAACCAGCAATGATTAAACTAAAATGTAACGTTTAATTTTGTTTTGTTTGCATTTATCTTTATGTATTAAAAAAAACAGAAAGGAGTAAATAAACAGACTGACGTTGATTGGTTTCAAACAAGTTTCGTGTTCAGACAAGAAAATCAAATATCGGTCATTCACAGTAACATATATATCTGGCGAATGTCAGCATTCACACAGTCGTTTGGTGTATGTACGAAATATCTGCTAAATATCATTTTTTTTCACTTAAACCGGCAAATGTCGACATTCAGCATGCACTGATGGCGAATGTTGAATAAAAATATTTTTATTACGTTAAGACAAAAATGCAACGTTTTAATATGTCAAAATAAGAGAAAGCTTAAGTAACAGTGCATGTAAATAAACTGTTGAACCTAAAACGAACAGTACATTCTTAATCAGAAAAGAAAATACCGTAATACAATAATAAACTTACACATAAATTACGTGATTAACGTTATATAATCTTATTTATTGCAACAACTTAAACTGTTATGGCACTTTGAATTGCACAAAAGTCCCTTGCTTTTACAACTGCATTTATTCATGGAACATTTCTTTTTGCAATGACAGCGTGTATAGCCTTGCCCTCCACTTTTCGAATTAGCTGCAGCTGCTTCTCTCAGCGATATTTCTTAAGAAGAAATCTCATCTATGGAAAATAACTTTTCTTTACAAATTACGAACTGATTACGTTATTACGTGATTACGAATTGATCTGTTAATGGTGTCTTTTATTCGGATATTGCCGACGCCTTATCGATGACCCATCTCATCCTCCGCCACTCGACCTGACAAACCGATCACCACCTCACGGCATCAAAAGAACAAAAACACCATCCAGTGACAAAGTGGGCGGTTTCCGCCAAACCGTTGCCGGGAAAAGAGGTACGACCTTGTCCTACCTCCGGCTACCCACAAAGGATTTGGCGACGGACTGTTGCCTCTCTGTCGATATCGACTTCTCAGGTGTCGTTTCGACCTCCACCAAAGCTTATCTATGCTTGTCGACATACACCGGCGATTGTTCGAATGTATAATAATATAACCAAATATTCAGGCTTTCACCGACGTATTTTGTATGTGTCGACATTCACCGGAGAATTTCGACATTCTCTAATTTCTGTCTTTCACAGTAACATATACACACACTATCTTTTCCATAAATTACATTTACCTCTGGGTAACGGGTCTGTCTGACTAGTTGAGATAACTGATGTTATTTTCAGTTTTACAATGAGAAATTTACGTATAGTTGATGTTATTTAAAATGTGCATACACGTGTGAAAACACGTTATTTTCTGGGAAAATCGGAAAAGTTTTAGAGCCTGTACACACTAGGCGTTTTTCAACGCGCGTTTTAAAGAACCAAGAGTTCTATGTAGCCGTACACACTCAAACGCGCGCTTTTGGCCAAGCGCGCGTTAAACGCGCGTTTATAGATTTTTGTTAAAACGCGCGTTTTGCGGGCGTTAGCCGAGCGCTTTGAGATATATGTGCTGCCATGTTACCGTACATGCGATCGCGCGTTTTGCGGGCGTCAGCCGAGCGCTTTGAGATATATGTGCTGAAATGGAGAACGATCATTTCGATACTGATCTATTTATTGATGAAATCTAAAAGAGACCAACCATCGTCAAAGGATTTTATAGATATTTTAAAAGAATTAAAAAACTTGAATTTATTTTGTCTTAGTTTTGGATACAACGTCGCAAACATTTCATGCGTCAGTCTATCTCGTAATATTGGGTGCACCCAAAATTCTCTTTGCCTCTGCCGTCGTCTTTTATAGCGACGATAGAGGAGCCACACACAAGCAATCACTTCCACATCCATTTCCAAACCGAGCCAGTGCGCACGCTCCGCTAAACGCTCGTCAAACGCCGAGCTAACGCGCGTTAGCTCGGCGTTCGACGAGCGTTTAGCGGAGCGTGCGCACTGGCTCGGTTTGGAAATGGATGTGGAAGTGATTGCTTGTGTGTGGCTCCTCTATCGTCGCTATAAAAGACGACGGCGGAGGCAAAGAGAATTTTGGGTGCACCCAATATTACGAGATAGACTGACGCATGAAATGTTTGCGACGTTGTATCCAAAACTAAGACAAAATAAATTCAAGTTTTTTAATTCTTTTAAAATATCTATAAAATCCTTTGACGATGGTTGGTCTCTTTTAGATTTCATCAATAAATAGATCAGTATCGAAATGATCGTTCTCCATTTCAGCACATATATCTCAAAGCGCTCGGCTGACGCCCGCAAAACGCGCGATCGCATGTACGGTAACATGGCAGCACATATATCTCAAAGCGCTCGGCTAACGCCCGCAAAACGCGCGTTTTAACAAAAATCTATAAACGCGCGTTTAACGCGCGCTTGGTCAAAAGCGCGCGTTTGAGTGTGTACGGCTACATAGAACTCTTGGTTCTTTAAAACGCGCGTTGAAAAACGCCTAGTGTGTACAGGCTCTTAATGTTGGTTACAGAATATTAGCTTAAAAATAACTTATTATTATGCAATTTTATAAAGTAGAATAGTTGGCTCTACTATGCGAATTTAGTTTCAGCTTGGGTGAGCTCCAAAACTTGGAAATCACTGATGACGTGTAAAGTCAACAAAATATTCTAAAAGTTAACACACCAATCAGAGACTATCTCAACAAATTCTCAACATACAATTTAAACGTAGTCGATTGTGTTGAATTGTTCTTAAAACATTACTGTTCTTTTTGACCAAAGAGAGCACTTAAAAAAAAAAAAAAAATAGGATTAATAGTTATATAGATGAAAGAGAGACCAGATATGGAAAGCTTAGTGGAAGGAAGCCCCGATTTATTATATACGAATTTCCACTTTGCACCGGAAGTAATGTTATTTCAATTCAAACATATTCCTTCAGGAGTTAGATGACCGGCACGATTCTATTGCTAGCAGGAAAATACGATGTACTGTAAAGGGGCAAAACACTACTAATTTGAGATGGAGAGCATATATTTTAAATTAAGCTAAAAATTGCAACTCGGCATTGTGACAATGCTACAATAAATAATTGGTCGTTTGAATAAAAGAAAATACTGTACTTTGAGTAATATGAAAAGCCTCTTGTGTAATAAATTATAAAAAAAAGTTAGCTATAGATGATAAAACGTTAAAAAATAAATTAATTTTTTATTACAATTATTATTTTATGAACTTAAAAAAATATATTACAGTACTATAAACAACCACTGAAACTTCCGCGGACGTCGCTAGCGACCAACGAAATGTATTTGTGATGACGTCACTTCCGCCGTAAACATCCTATCTATTAATACAGATGTAGTGTCGCTGCCTGTGGGTAATTGTTCGACTATTAAAAGTTGCAGAACTAGATATACGAAAGTTGAATCATAATACAGACGGACTAGTAAGACGTATTTAAGCGTCATTTAATCGATCGAAACAAAGCAGAAAAGGTAAGATTGTTTCGGAAAGTAAATTTATTCCATATTAACGTAGCAAAAATGTTACGTCGTTTGAATTTACTTTCAACTTTTTTAAAATTAAAATGCTTGAAAATAAATTTTTAAAATATATAACAGAACTTTTTGGTGTTTTGTGTACACAAAGCTGTCCTTGTTCGTTTCGTTTCTTTGGATATTTGCCAATTTCCCAGTAAAGTATGATGTTCTCCAGCATTTATATTTATGTACTTCGAATGAAATTCGTTTTTTTTTTTTTAGTCATTATCATTCACAAAACAAATGTAAATCTTACTTGGAAACGAATTTAGCTTTGAATTTATATTTTATGCGTATGAACGTGATGTTTATTTATAAATCGTGAGCTAATTTTACATGCTGGGTGACATCAACTGAAGGATTTGATAGTTTTCGTTAGGAAATTTTTTAATTGTGAAATTAGATTTATAAATTAAAATAATTTTGATTTCTAAAACCGAATCGATACTCTAAAAAGTTTTTATTATGATTACAATCATTTGCATATATCAATTTCGAAATGTTTGAATAAGATTTCATTTGTACGAATGTATACGTACCGGTACAGTTAAACTGGTTAATTACTTATAGAATTTTAAGTATCTTTATCAAAATATTGACTTTTATCAATGGTTCCGTATCAGTTTTATCTGTTTTGGTGTTTGTTTATGCGTACCAATGACCTACATAAATGTGGATGTAAATAAATTGCGATTTTTATTGTTTGTTTATTATGCTATGTCATATATACATATATATACTGTATATATTAATTCAGTATATGGAAAAATAATTGTGTGATAGAATTAATCACTTTCATCTGTAACGTTGTTAATCCGTATTTAACAGACTTTCGGGATAAAACGATATGACGGTTGCATTCGAATAGAAGAAAAATTTAAAAGATTTCAGAATAAATAATTTAAACGTTAGTACCAGTTCTTATAAGTTACGAAAATACTATATATAAACTCAAAAACAAAAATAAAAATAATTTAAAAATAAGATAGTGTACTTCGTACTTCGAATTTAATTCATTCCAGGAGGACGTTCGAAGTCCGAAACACTTTTTCCCATTAAAAATAACGGAAAGTGAATTAAGTCATTCCCAGACCCTGAACGTCGGCACTGAATGTGGACTTCGGCATCTTAACATAGATATGTGATTTAATTATGACAGTTGTGAAATTTAACATATTATAGTGTAAGATTTTATACTTTGTTTAGAATTGTACTTTAAACTTTTACTTCACATTTTGTTTGAATAAAATCAAGTTGTAATGTCTTCAGATAAAAATCAAGCATATTATTATTATGCTTTTGAGTTTCAAAAAAGGATACAGCACTGTACAAACCAGTAAAAAAATTGTGATGTTAAAGGAAAGATGTTCCTAAACTTTAAAAATATCAAATGTGGTTTAAAATAATTCTGTTCAGAAAATTTTGAATTAAAGGATAAAAACATAGAAGGTGCCCAAACTCCATTGACAAAGAAAAATTGCAGAAAGAAATTGTTAAAAATTGATAAATAACACACAGTATAGTATACATAACCAAATATATCAAAAATAAAATGAAAAAGCACCAAAAACATACAGCCATAACACAAAAGTGAGAGATGACTTTGTCACCTAATGGATTGAATTTATGCTTTGAGTGCATTTTTTCACTGAGCACAGTTTGAACTTTGAAGCATTGGTTGAACTCCAAATTTTTGTGTTTGAACTCTGAAGTGTTCGAAGTTAGTCATTCAAAGGGTATGAGGTACCATTGTAGATATATGCATAGAAATTGTACTAACATTTAAATTATAATACAGTAGAACATCGATTATCCGACTCAATTGGTGACTCAGGTTGGTCGGATAACTGAAAAAATCGGATAACTGAAAAGAATGAAAAAAATACATTATTAGTATAGTATATTCCACATACAGTAGACCTCCCCTATAACGCGTAGATACGTTCCACGTTATAAGAATTTCACGTTGTAGGAATCCTTAAATACATGAGCCAATCACAGCCCAACACATGTGCAGTTTACCGACTATGGCTGTTTGAAAGGTTTTCTTCCATAAAATTAATCAATTGTAGACTAATTTGACTCAACATTTCCAAAATACGTATAATTTTTTTGGGAATAATCCGTATAAACTATGCTATAAACAAGAAATTGTAGGATTACTTACCGAGTGTGCATCGTTCGACGTCGCTATTGCTTAAGCTTGTTTTTGTCACGGAGCAGTGCACCAAATGGCGGCCACAATTTCTGATAAGTTATTTTTCTGCGAAAAATTTGTTGAACTTTGGAGACATCATTAATATAAATAATTTTTATGGCCGTTGAATAAGAAATGTTTCTTTCACAAGAAATGTATAAAATTACAGTACTGTATTAAACTTACGGTACCTAATTTACATACTGTACAGACGATAGTAAACTCAACTTACTCGCCTAAACTCTGTAGCGTGGCGCTGGACGGCGGAAAGTAGTTTGGCTGCTCGTTCGCTATTAGTCCAGATTCGACCAATCCTGTCGCGGCACGAGTCGGCGATGACGTTTTACGAGTTCCTTTTAGCGTCCTTATACGAATACTGTTGCAATTTTTTCGCTGCGTTATAGGAATCTCTGTTATAGGAACTCACGTTATAGGGGGGTCAACTGTAATTAGTATATTAGTATATTGCTATTAACCAACGCATTGAATTTTCATCATTAAGCCTAACAAATTTTTTTAAAATAATAATCGTCGCTATTGTATCGTTAAAAATTATTTTTAAATTATTTTGTTGCTCACAAAACAAACAATCACTCATAATTAGAAAATTAAGTCTCGTTTAAATACTGGCCTCCCTTCAATGGTCGAGCCAGTGTTACCAGCTAAAACGCGCAAAAAGTTAACAAAAATATTATTAAAGTAGCCAAGACATAGCTAAATATTATAGTGCCACAGCACTAGTAGACATTTGAAATTTGCCTACTAGAACGGTTGGTTAATCGGGGGTCGGATAATCAATGCTCTACTGCAGTGTTTTTTCAACCTGTGGGTCACAGGTAGAAGAAAAAGACAAGTGTTTGTAGGTCGTACACTACATTAAAAAACTACAATTTCACCGAGAATTACGGCCCACCCCAGAAAATCATAGCGGAAAAAGTGTTGAGCTGATTTGCAAAAACAAATACAAAGTAGAAAAGTAGAAGCTGAAAATTCAGATCCTAAAGAATAAAAAAAAAAAAAATCAACAGTTTATTGTGCCTAATGTTATAATTAAAGGAAGTTTCATACTTTACGTGTGTTAAATTATTGTTGATTGAAATGAAAATTTCAATCAACAATAATTTGTCTCAACAGAAAGAAAATTAAATACATAGTTTTTGAAATCACTGATATAGTTTTAATATGGACGTAGGGGGGTCGCCAGAATTTTTTAACCTGTAAAGGGTTGCGTATTCAAGAAGATTGAAAAACACTGCTCTACCGTATTAAATAACGCTTCTAGCCCATGACTTTAATTTAGATTGAAGTAGTTAGCCTAATAAATAGGGTTGTTACAACCCTACTTATTAGGCTAACTAATTCAATCTAAGCATTTAAATTGTTTATTATGGATTGTTTTTAAATTTTTCATTCTATTCAAATGCAACTGTAATTCATTTTGTGTATTTATCCTGAAGAAAGTGATAGAATTTTTGCTAAATTATCTATTTACTGATTTGGAAATGTAGAATTGGACTTTCAATTTTGTTTTTGTTATAATTTTCTCATACATACATACATACATACATACATACATACATATATACATACATACATACATACATACATGTCATTACAAATACAGTATTTGCAAAAGGAGTGGGCAGCAGCCAAGAACGATCACATACATACTCATACATTTATCATATTTCTCCAGATACTCGTACTTCTGCATACTTTTTTTATTTCTGCCGTCTTCATCTCTTTTCTTGTTAGCACACTTTCTATCTCATTCATGTTCATAATCTTTTGTTTCTTCAAATGCTAATCCATTTGCTCCAACTAGGGTTGATTTTCCATTTCATTTTCTTTCCATTTTTCCTAAGTAACTCTAGTAATTCCTTTTTATTCATTGGCCAAACCATTGTAAAGCAGACTTGCTCATCTTTTGTACTGCATTCTCTTTCACATCACATTTTTTCCTGATATTCTCATTCTTCATCTTCTTTACACACACTTGTTTCTCAAATGATTCATCTTCTGTCTTATCCATGTCTCCACATATTTCAGCGCAAGAACCAGAATGACAATACTTCTGTATATTGTCATTCTGACCTTTCTTGACATTTATTCCTTGTAAATTTACTCATAACACCTACAACTCTAGCATTTGCTCTTCTTTTAATCTATACTACCATTTTTCTGAGACATGCTTTCCAGATACAAAAACTCATTCACTTGTTCTAACATTCGGATGTTTGTCATTTAATTTACACTTTAAGTAACAATTGTACATTCTGTTTATACTTTCTGACACTAAACATTTTTGTCTTGCTGACATTCATATGAAACTTAAACTCTTCACATGCTTCATTCTTTCTTTAACATAAAATTCTGTAGTTTTGTTTCATTCTTTAATAATAGCACTATGTCATCTGTATACATCAATTGGCACTTTTTCATTCTCAATTCTCAGGTTCTCTAGCTCTCCTCATACATGCATCAATGTACACATTGAAGAACAATGAAATATGACATTCCAGCCTTACACCCTTCTCAAGACTCAATATTGAACCATTCAAATATTTTCCATTTATCTGCACACATGCTTTGCTTGTGAGATAGCAAGAGATTGTTTTTATAGTACATTTACTGTAGTTTGATAAAATTGCCAGGACAATAATTATAAAATTAATACATAATTAAGATAGGACATCGAAAGACTCATTTGTATTTCTTACACTTCAGAAAAATAAGTCTTACCGTGGAGTCGACCTTT